ACAGAGAAGCCACATTGTTAGCGGCCTGAAATCCAAGCTTATAAGGACAAGTAGGGGAGCCGCTAACGATGAAGGCTAATACGACTGGATTTCAGGTTAAATTGTTGCCGGACGGAAGTATTGTTCTGAGTGGCTCTTGTTTAGGGGAAGTTTGTTTGTATGTGTTCCGTACTTACCAGCAAGGATTGAAAGTGACTGGGTGGACACTGGCTACGTACGTTACTACTTCTGGGGTCGAAAAAAAGCACTGTTTTGGTTGGTTCTAATTTAGGGGAAGTTTGTATCTGTACTTCACCAGCAAAGATTATAAGTTACTGGGTGGAGACTTGGTTTCAGCTGATTGACGGGGTTGTGACTGGTATGTCCTGGGTGGTAGGATGTAGTCGTCAGGAATGTGAACAGTGTGATCATGGTATGAAACATTGACCATAGCGGAGTACGTAACGTCATACAATCATATGAGTAATGGTCCATTCTATGATGTGATTCAATAGGGTATTTTTCCATGTTTCCACAGATTCAGGGATGCCCAAAGCACTTCGCGGAAGTCCAAAATCTCCTACTTCTTGTTCACTTTGTACTTGGTCTGAATACTGAAGACGTCGTAGCTGCATACTATTTGTGTATCCCGTTTTTGTGGGCTTACCAGAAGCGTAAGAGCCATCTGAGTTCATATATTCACAGGCCCCGACCCTCATTAGATGACACCACCTCTCTATAAAGATTAACAGAATCTATGTCACCAGGGGATACAAAATAGCAGATCCTAAAACACATAATGACATTCTAGCCTCTTAAACCGGTCTAGGGCACAAGCGATCGTGAACTAGACCAAGATTTCCTTCCTTAAAAGCAATTACATGTTAAAACGCTAATTGAGCAAATGTATATGGCCGTATTATATGCTTTAATAACCTGACCCGACCGACAAATTTGGGATCGTCTCAATGCCTGCTTATCCAACACCAACGAAATTGAAGTGCAAAGTTGTGTAGTTGTCAGAGTAATAGTACTTCATGTCGCATGTTGGGTATGGGTTCGGAGAACCTTTAATGATGTCTTCTTTCAAAGAAGAGAGAATCTTATACGAAATTTTCGATAAACCATAGCCCCAAATTCAACAAGAGCCTTTTTTCACCTTGAAGTCTTTGGATTAACACTTCGACGTTGGTTTTTAGGAGAGTTTGTATGTATCTTATCTTGAGCAGAGAGGGTTAAAAGTGATTGGGTTTCAGTTGATTGACAGGGTTGTGACTCTGTTTGCCTTGAGTGGTAGGACGCTGTATGAGGTCGCCAGAAATGTGTACTGTGTAATTATCATGGTATGAAACATGAACCATGATGTAATGCGGAAAATATCTATATCCAATATATGATGTAATTCAGTCGGGTATTTCTCCAATACAATACATTTGCACAAACTCCAAACTCTTTCCGGAAGTCTGTATTTGAATATATGGATATGACATCCACGCGTGCATGAATTTTCGGCCGTTTCCGAAAAAAAAGTTTTCAACCATACTGTAAATCGTACGAAACAGTTACAAAATGGAAAAATATCTACCGTAAGTTAAAAAAAACAATATTGGAAAACAATACTAATGTCATAATATGCCAAAATCAAACAAAAAGACGAAAATTTAAAGAAATAAATTTGAATTATTGGCCGTACCATACTCTGTCCCATTTGTTCAACCTTCATAACCACGTAGATTTGATTATGAAAGCAACTTTTTCTTGCCAACCTTTTTTTATTCGCATGCTCGTATCAGTTTTGGGGTTCCCAGATGTTGTCATCCATATAATCAAATTAACATGGCCTTTTCCTTTAAAAAGAGTGCAAGTCTATCTGTGCAGGTCGACGCCAGAGTGTCGGGTAGTTTATACCCGGCTCACGCAACCAGACAGGCTTACACGTCTGCACGGGCACAACCCTCACAGCTGCGGCCAATTAGCACAAAGGGCACACCAGAGATTACCTGGTCCAAACTAGCTGGTGGAACTTTTCGCAATTAAAGAAAGTTTGCCACTTCTGCGGGGCGTGACTATGTGTACGTGGTTGACTGAACAATAATGTTCTTATGTTCAGTCCTAGAATATGAAATGTTTTTTTTTTCTTCTTTTTATTCAACAGACAAAAATAGCACAAAAGGCAAAACCATTCAACGTACTAGGTTGAACGTAGTATCAAACCATAATAACAGAATGGTACATTTGTAAATAATATGACAACCAATATTATACATGAATGTTATCAACGTAAAATGATATTCTTACGCACTCAATTTGCCCCATCTACCTCGATGCTTCTCCATCTTTTTCCTAGTGGCAATATGATATTCAACTTTGTTAAAATGTTTCTTGCCACTGTTCTCATGGCTAGCTTGAAA